AAAAAAATAGGTATTAACATAAATTTATTTTTTTCACTGTTTACATACATCAAATTATGATGGCAAAAAAGTGTCCGAAGTATTTGAAGTAAGTACATTGTAATACTGAAACGATAATAATCTCAGATTTTACATGCACCACATCGAAGTACGATATAAAATGACTATCGGTTGAATCCCATCTTATCTTTATAATTTAAGTACAAATTGTCGTTTTAATTATTATATTCCTAATTCAGTTTATCACGTTATCGAGCAACGAATTTTTTGTTTGCTAACAATAATGGTTCTTCAATCGATTGTCGTTTGCGAGCAATTCTCTTGTGATCAATTGACATGTATCCGTTTGAACTATCGGACAAACAATTTGACCAACTTCTTTTTAAAGCTACGAATTTATATAAATAAACAAATAAATAAATAACCCTCAACAACGGGACGGACAATATTAATTACCACATGGTCCACATAGTCTAAATCATTGTCAGTACCCATATCATTATAAACGTATAGCCGTATAGGTAACTAAACCGACGGAGAGATTGCGATCGCAGTCTACAACATAATATTATAATGATATTATTATTATTATTATTATTGTCGTCGGAAGTTTAATACAATATTTTATTTCGAACTTTGACACGTCACTGACGTCGCCTGCAACACGCCTTATCACAGCATCACATACATCGTCTGCAGCACCGCTCTGCTGTAACCAAAATACGTTTCTAATCTATGATTGCAGACGCCACTTGTTGATCTAACAGCGGAGAAAGATAAAATCGTCGACGGTCCCCTACAAAACTTGTACGAGTGGTGGCAGATGATACTGTACTTACACAATTAATATTATAATCATTTCTCGTTTAACGTTTTCATGGCGGTATATTAATGACGTTTATTTTTGTACCAACTACCAGTACGAACCGTCACCGTGTGTACGGTGTATATATATAACACAGTGAACGATTAGACAGTTCATACTCATTATAAAATATCAACTCAGGAAATAAGATTTATTTTTTTATTTCAACTCTTACGGTTATAATAATTATCATTTTTCCATCGTGATAAGTATCGGCTGTTCTATCAACTAAAAGTTTCTCGTGCTCCCTGAGATACAGCCGGATTCGGGATAAAATATAACCACCCAGTAAATTATATAATATACGGAGGGATTTGTTTAGCATGAACATCCTATTTTCATGCTTAATTTATGCATATATTCAAATTCTGATTTTTGGAATTTTAATATACAATTGAAGACCATATTTTCGAATACTTGACATTTTTTGTACCACTTATGGACGATCCTGTGACTTTACAATTTTCTGTTTTGCAAATAGGAGCCCTCTTTTTTGCATTTAATTATACAGCAGATATTTTTTGGGGGAATTTCGATGTGCCTAGATCAATATTCAAACGAATAGTTTTTTAGTTACCTATTATATAACTTTGTGTACTAAGGATAATGAGATTCGTAATGGGTTAAGTAGATATGTGGCTTAGATAAATTTGATAAAGTTAGTAGGTAACTACTATTGATCCATAAATATAAATAATTTGTTAGGTATAATAAATACTAAGTACATCTAATATTACATATAGCTTATATTTTTGTAAAACTGTTTTTAAGGATTATTAACCTTAGTATTAACATTTTAATAACTCAGGAACTACTCATTAGAATTTTGATTTAAATACACCAAAATGTTCAAAAAAAAAAAACATCCACTAAATAATTTTCACTAAAAAAAATTGTTCGCATTTGAAAAATAGAAGTTTGTACTGACACAGTACGCTCTTTATGTAGGTAGTATAAAAAAAATATCTGGAATTTTGAAATATGGTCTTTAGAATTTAGATATACTTAAAAATTCTAAAAATCTGAATTTGAGTAAATGTACTATTAAAGAGAGAAATGGGGGATGGACATGCTTGAAAAATTACCATGTACACACACACACGCACACGCACACACACACACACACACACACACACACACACACACACACACACACACACACACACACACTATATGGAGGCGGTGCAGCAGTTGTCGTGAGTTGATATAATTGTTCAACGCTAAATTTAACTCGTTTCGCTATTATGCTATATAATTTATTAATATACCTCTATACATATAACCACCGCCGACAAAACGAGACTTATTGCGTGCAGTGATATTATTGTTGTTGCTGTTGCCGGGAGGTAGTAGAAGAATCTATTTGTATATTAAGACACAACATCATCAGTCATCACCACTACAGGCCGTGGTCTTGTGGATAATAAAATCAATTCGAAGAAACCATATCGTCGCAAGTACTGCACTTGTCATATTATTGACGGTTATCCAAGAATACTATAACTCAAAAAAGTACTACTTTTTTTTTTTCTTCTTCGGGAGAGTGATTTAAAACTGCAATGCGCTTTCGGCGCTAATGGGTTAAGTGTATGATATTCTAAATCGACTTAAGAGATGTTTTGAAAAGGAGAAAAAAGATGGCGTAGTATATTCATTTTTGATTTTTTTTTTTTTTGTTGAGTTGTTTCAACCTCTAACTGGATAGTTGATATTATTACTATATTATTATCTTCACGATGTAAAGAATGTTATTATCGACGGTTCTAAAGAATACCATCAAAATATTGTATTATATTATGTATTATTATAGTTATTATTTAAGTGCTCGGGTGACATAAAAGGCGAAACCCCTATACTCTGTTCAGCGAGAGACCGCGCCACTCCGGTTATTCTGTGCATCCCAGAGCGACTTTCGAGACCGGTTCCACCCGGGGGGTGTCTCGTGGGCATGCGCAGAATCGGTGCGGTCTCTGGTCGGACAGTAATATTGCACTTCTATAATTCAGATAAAAATAACTTAGGAATAAGTAGTCTAAAATAGTATATATTACCTATATTATGTATGTATAAACATATTCTATTCTATCGGACTTTGTCCCCTGCTCCCTCCGTTCGCCAATCCACAGTTTTAAATTTTAACAACTAATAACTGTAATATTTGTATTATATTTAATTTTTGATCACATGACCAATAAAATAATTGCTGTAAGTACAATAAAAGTGTTAGTGCTCTACGATTGGTATTGGGTGGATTGTGTGTGGGTGAAAAGAGCGCATTCATTGAAAGCACTTCTGCATATTTAATTAAATTCTATTTATTTATTTGTTTATTTTTGGTTATTAAAAGAGTTTCTGATCAATCTGTTATAAAGTAGAACAATAAGAAAAATGTATGGTATAATTAAAAATAAAAATATAAATATAAATATAATGAAGGATTAGTCGGAATGTATACCTAGGTCAGTGGAGGTACTACGACCAATTTATTTATTTTTTGTATTTTGTACTTTTTTATTATTTGATATATAACTTATATAGGTATACCTATTTATAAAATAAAATACCAAAAAATAAATATTCCAATACTTTTAAGTTTTTTTATAAAAAAAATGTATTTTTATTTTATTTTTTTTATTGGTCTAAAGCCCGGCAAGTGCATGTGTGCAAAGTTTTTGCCCTATGGACCCGGATGGTCACCCATCCGGGAACTAGTAGCAGTGGCTATTGCTTACTGTCAATCACGTGATTGATTACAGCCATTGCGCATCACCGATATATATGTATAATATCGTATCTGAATAAAACGTAATTAGATAAACGTTTTGAAGAAAACAAAATTAAAGGTATTATTTATAGTATTATCCTTAGTTTTAATTTTCCTTTTCCTTTTCGTTTTCTACTTTGCTCACTTCTTATACCCTAAACCTACACTTCTACACCCTACACACATTTTAATCTAATCTACGGGGTACAATCACGAAGGAGAGTGCACGACCGTTTTTTTTTTGGGGGGGCAGGTACTTAAACGTAATTTTTAATTGGCATTTGCTGCTGAATCTACTTAAGGTAGAATTTTTATTAAGTATATTATATAATAATATTATAGGTGGAAAATATTATTTATTACATACGCTTTAATTATGTATAGTGTAATGTTTAAAAACATTTATAAAATTATTCTAATTTAAAAATAAAATAATGTATATTCAAATTAATTAGATGGTAAACAAATTGTTGGTTGGCGGTGAGGGGGGGATGTATAGAGGGTATACGCCATAAGGTAACAAATTATTTTAAGTTCGAATACGATGATAATACTAGCAAACTAGCGAGTAAAAAAATTATTTTCTAGGTACGAAATAATATTAAAAATTCACGTCATTATTATTTTGTCCTCCCTTCTATAACATCTGAATTACTCCACTTAAGCCAACCAACCGCACGTACACGTGACGTTAAATGGTGTTCGATGGTATTACAATACATTTCAATAAATATTTATGATTTTTTGGAAGGCCTAGAACAGTAACGCCTGAATCTCAAACAATATACCTCGCACACAATGCTATAATATAATAGGAAAAAGATGATATCATCAGAAAATCCATAATGTGAAACCGTGTGTAGTTGCAAGAGGTTATCCACCTTATTATGAGCAGGTCAATTATGTGTACAAAATATGCTGTGGATACAATTCATAATACAAATTTCGTGTATAATTATTTGTATAATAATGTATATATATAGTGGCGCGAGCACATTCAATACTAATACACTCTAAAATCGTATAATTTAATTGTAAAAGATTTAAAATTCAAAACAATTAAACATTTTTTTCTATATAACTTACAACCGCATCGTAATTAATGTCTTTATACCGATGCTTTGATATAATATATTATTATTAACTTTAATAAATATAATATAATATAGGTAAATATTATAATAATTATATATCTTAATTTTTTGTTGATTCAGTAGTACAACACATAATATTAACGTTAAGTTTATTATAAATTAGAGACGATGGTAAAGTATATAAATGCCACTAGATGAGTGAGACAGTATCGCCGTACTCGTATATTATAATTATTATTGTTATAATTATATATATATATATAATATTATTATATGTTTAGTAGTTGTAATAGCGGTAGAAATCTGACAATCTATAGTACTGCGGTTCTTCTTGGTAGTGGTTTAGACCCTGAAAATAATTATTCTACACAGATATGAGGATTCTATTCTGATGTTTTTTTTTATCATACTTTGGATCCGTGTTGAGCTCTCTGCTTGCGCTGGAACTCGTTGTTGATGTAGAAATCTTTCGGCGACGGGGCCAGTACGACGGGGCGCTCCTCCCAAACTTCTGTATGACACGGCAATAATACGATTATTATTATTATTATTATTATTGTTGTAGTCTTAGTAAATCACTATTTACTAATGATAAGCATACAAGCTGAGAAATGGCACGGACTATAATATTATATCTATCTATCTATATATATATATATAAATAAGTGTACATTTTTAATACATTTTATAACTCAAGATCCACCAAACCGATTTCGATAAAAAATTTCAGGGAATATTAAGATTGATATGTAGATAGTTTCTGTGAAGTTTGTACGCTGTGCGATAAGTGGTTCTGGAGTTATGGCCTCTTAAGTGCACAATAAATAATAAATAATAATAATAATAAAAAATTAAGTTGCGGTTTAAAATAACAATAGTATGTATTGTACATTGCTTGCTATTAGTTACGGGCATCTTTGGTGATTTGTATTATTATTTTGTTGTCAATATATAATACATATATTCTAACTATATAAATGCGAAATGAAAATCTTTGTACCGGGTCAACTCTGGAACTACTTATCAGATCTTCTTGATTTTTTTTAAACGAAAAAGTATATCACGAAGAAGGTTATTATGAAACAAAATTTTAGGAAAAACCACGCGAAAAGTAGGAAATCTGGATGTCAAAAATACAACAGGGACGCAACAGGTTAGGTTAGGATTTTGTATTAATTGATTATATTAATCCAGCATAGGTAGAATATGACAAAATTGATATAACTTTGATACTTTAGAGTTAAATCATACACTTACGTACAAACAAGATTGCCTACCTGATAATATATTGCTGCGAATCAGAATTTTTATTCCGGACAACGGAAAAGTTAAGATTAGGTAATTTATTTTAAACACTATAGATACACCGAATATTAAATAACGAATTGAACAAAGTTTGAGTCATATAGAGTTGGTACATTTAAGGGGAAACGATATGCTATTAATAAAATATTATGCACAATATAATATAATATTAATATAATGACATTAACGAACCACGAGTAAGCATAATACGCGATGAAATATTAATCAAAAGGAAAGGAAATAGGACGAGTGATCACTGCTAATAACTTGAGCAAAAACACTGGTAACCGGTGTCCTCGGTATCCCATTTAAGGAGAAAATCGTAACGACGCATTGAAAGTAAAAGTAGGTACGTGCGAATTATACAATAATAATAATATGTATGACTTTATGTGCGTACGTTTAATACATTTGTTACACGCTATAGGATTAAAATTTAGCAAAACGTGACGATATTTTAAGCGGTGAAACACTCTCACCTTGGACATCGTCTTCGTCGTCTTCTTCTGGTATCTCATTTTCTTCGTACGGAATTGTGTCGTGTCCATAACTTTGTCCATAATTTTGTCCATAACTTTGACCATAACTTTGGGCGGGACGTCTAAAAATATACGTGTTAGTAAGCCGACGATTGTATTTGATAAATTAATATGATTATACCGGAAAAATTAAATTGTGTGATTAAAAAATATCTTTTACACTATCTCCTCTCCCCTGCTGCTAGCTTATAAATTAATCGTTATAAAACATCATATATCATGGGATAATATATTATTATGTTGTTAAAACATTTTAATCGACTTTGTGGTAAGCAAATTTAACTTTTTTTTTAATTAAAAAAACAACATTTTAGTAATTTCTAAAGAATGGCTTACGTATTTCTTTGAGTTTTGGTTTTTATATTATTTATTAAAACACGTTATATTTTCTTATCGAGTAGGTATTGTTATACTTAATATAATGTCAATGTAGAGTTTTATATAGCTACCTTGTACAAGGTCTGTGAGCATAAAGCGTCATGGAACATACCTATATATTGTTGTGAGGAAAAAAAATTGAATATTTCCGATGGATATGGCCATGAAACACTTGAAACATGTATCACATCGACTGACAATAACCGTGTGCAGTTTAACTATACACTATATTATTATTTTATACTAAATATTATAATGTAAAATATCTTTTTGAACATTGCTGTGCGAATTCGTCAAAGAAGGACGTCCCTTTATAACGTTGCAGTTTTTTATTGTGTAGTCAGATAATAATATGACCACCCGGGGCCTGGCCTCGACAGTTCATTGGACCGATATAGTTTCTATACTTTATATTGTATGAACAAAATACAATTGTACGATTATGACGTATACATCTAAAACGTTCAATTCTCAATAGTTTAATTTGATATTAACAAAATACAATGATTTATTATATAATATTTGTGTCATAGATTATTGCCACATACATTCAATCAAAATTTAAACTTTCAAAAACACAACAAATAATGTAAAAATCAATTGTGATAATATTAATTGGGATTAGTATCAAAATTCAAAACTGATACCTGCAAAACTTGCAACTATATTTTGTTTTAAAACCCAATAGAAATTATAACAATAATCAAGTTCCAATTGAAGCAATTCGACAATTAATTAAAATGTACGACCATCGAATAATATTGTAGTTTGTTACCTTTTGTAATAATATTAATGATCAATACATGCATACAAATATGCACAATAAAAATAAAAATAAACTGTTATCATTAATAGTTATCGGTTACATGCCTGGATTTGTCTCGAGCCTTATTTGCTTCCAGGATGGACATCAACGCCAGCAATTCTTCGGGGTCAAAAGGCAAGTCGCGTTTGGCACGTCCGCTGTCCAAATAAGAACCGTATACTCTAGAACCACTTTTTAACCAAAACATTATATATAGGTACATAAAAATTGCAACAAACCGTTAACGATATCGAAATTTCAATTGAGAAAATGGACGTGTTTTGTTATAATATGAAAGCACTTATTATATGTACTCTGGTGTAAACAAGGTGTTGTAAAACAATTGGGTACAATGCAATTTTCATGAATCCTCCCCCATTCTTATTATATATTGAACGCCTCATAAATATTCGATGGCGACGTTCAATGAATAATTCATCTGTGACATTAAGTTATTGTTATTGGTATTGTTTCTTACCTCCTTTTAACCGGTGAGCCGAAGTGGTAAGCGTTCCTTTTATAACGGTCATCTGCGTCTAGCGATTGAATTCCATAGGAATCTTAAACAATGCAATTTGTCCAATAAAATATAGGTAGCCATATGTATAATAGTTGTGCACCCTTTATTAAAATTTAACATATTTCGAACCAGAAATGGGAATTGTGAAACATTAGTTTATATTTGAATTGAAGTAACACGAAAACATAAAAATAGTATAATTGTTAAAATATATTGTGGACTGTAGAAAACTTTCTCGGACAATACAGTCCAATACTATGCAAGAATGAATGACTTTAATTAAAAACTACCCAATCGAAATTGTTGAACGAAATATATCCTTCCAAATTAACATATTTTATTGAATTCAAATTATTATTTTGTATTCAAACCGAAAATGTAATATTTGCATAATGCTTACTTTTCGGGAAACATTTTAAATGGTTTTTTGGTCACAACTTATATTTTATAAGATCAATTGAATTATTTGAATTACACCTTAATTATGAAAGGGTCGTTGGTTATAAAATGTGTGTATGCGCTATGATTGTTTCGTACACAAGCTTTTGTTCATATATAATCGTATTTTAAATGCTATCATTATTTTCTTCTGAGTGGGTAATATTACATTTTATTTGTTATTAAATTTCGGTCAACCGATAAGTTATAGCTGTTTCAAATTTAGGTAGGTACATACAAGTTTGTATCGGATTTGGTAAATTGAGTCCTATATTACTATTTTTAGGTAAACTGAGTCCCCTGTAAAAAAATTAAAGCGGTGAATTGAGTCCCCTGTAAAAAAATGAAAGCGGTGAATTGAGTCCCTTGTGAAAAAATGAAAGTGGTGAATTGAGTCCCTTATAAAATATTTATTCTAGTAAATTAATAATGCTTATTAAATAGGTAATCAATGTCAACTTTTAAATGAATAATACATAATACATATAATAATTAATTTTGTCAATAATAATAATAATGGGTAATCAATGTCAACTTTTAAATGAATAATACATAATACATATAATAATTAATTTTGTCAATAATAATAATAATGGGTAATCAATGTTAATATAATAATAAATAATACTCTTGATATTAAACGGGTAAATATTTTAATGATACGAGCTTAATAAATTGAAGTCTACTAATTTCATTATTTTTGTACTTCGTCATTTGTTCTCTTAATATATTCTCCTTTTCTATGTTGTGTTTTGATTTTTTGCATAGCTCTTTACTTCTTATTTGAATATATGTATTAGATTGGATTTCTTTGAGTGCATCAATAAAAATATAAATATTTGGATGTGAAGTATAAAATAAACTATTCAGCTTTGCGTGAAATGATTCACAACTATTTGTTGTACGATTAGATATTGTCGAAAATTCAGCCCAAAGATTAGGCGGGAATGTAGAATCTGATGCAATGTATGTTTTTAAAATATAATCGGTGAATAATTTTATATTTTCATTTGCAGGAAGCTTTGGCATAATATCTTCAATGAAACAATCGTAAACATCGTTCGGTCTTAAAAATGGTAAACCAAAAAAAATTTTTAAAAAATTACTTTCTTCCGAATTTCGTTTTTTATAATTTGTACTTAAGCCAAGGCATTGTATTTTTTTCCACCAACTTTGTCCAAGGTGAAAACGACAACCTTTAATATTAATTGCTGGCCAAACTTGTTGCGCGGCATTATGTATAGATTTTTCAAAGTCAATAAAAATATATTTTGGTGAAAATGTTAAACCAACAATTGTACACTGGTCCATCGTATACTTAAAAGAATAAAAATAAGATTTGGTTTCCTTATTTGGCAATAAAAAAAAAACTAGTGGTACATACATTTCATTCACAAGTGCGTGAATTGTAAAGATTTGTAAAAAATATTTGGGACAACTTTTAAAAGTACCGTCAACGTATATCGTATTTGTATCACATAAAACCATTAAGTTGGACGTTGTTGAAAATCCGATAATATTATTATCGTGATCATTAACCATTAGAAAGGGTTCGTCCGTATTTGTTTTAATTATTATTTTATTAATAACTTCATGCGTTTCAATTACAGTTTTTGGTAAATTAGGGTGGATAGTTGATCGAATATTTCGTATATTTCTTTTAATAAGAGTCGTATCTGACAAAGTTAATGTATTTACGTTTTCTCTTTGTAATTCGGAATGTAAAAGTTTGGATGGCTTACTTGAAATATCTTCGACAGCTTTTCGTTTGAGACTATTGCTAAGTTTTTGCCGGTTCAAAGTTTTTTCGTCTGGTTTATTGTGTTTGTGATCTTCAAAACTATCAATAACTGTGTTTGAATCATTGATTTTCATATAGCACTTACATGTACTTAAGGAGCAAGTCCACCGCTGAACTTCATTCTTTAACATTTTATGGAACCGAAATTTGTAACCATTAGAAATAAAAATTGTTTTATTACGTTCACTTTTCATTACGTCCATTATTAATGTTGATATAGATGTGCTTTATACTCGCAATAACTAATGGTGCACGACTGTCGACTGTATGTATAGGTAATTTTGAAAACTAGTCTACAGTAATCGCATCTAAAAACGATAAGATAAGTATTTTATTAATACGCGACATTGATGTGCTTATATGCTCGCAATAACTAATGGTGCACGCGCGATTATACGTATAGGTAATTTTGAAAACTAGTCTAATAATATACGAGAGACTCAATTCACCGCTTTCATTTTTTTACAGGGGACTCAATTCACCGCTTTAACTTTTATACAGGGGACTCAATTCACCGCTTTAACTTTTATACAAGGGACTCGATTCACCGCTTTTGAAAAACAGTAATTTTATTTGGGACTCAATTTACCTACGCCCGTTTGTATCCAACAACGAAAACCGTAAACATATATTTTGTTGGTTTGTGTGATTCATACCTAATTCGTAATTTTCATCTGAATTTCAATTGTAGAATTTAAAATAATAATTATGTTCAGCCCCCTTACATACAACTATGGAACTTATAGCGAGTGATTGTAAAATATCATCTTTGTTGCATCATATTATATTGTAACGTTCAAGAGTGTAATAGATTAGACTATAATATAATACTAATAACTGTATGAGTACTTTTACATTAATATACCGACGATATGAAAACGGTATGCAATTATATTGTTCCATCGTATTGTCACAGTCCTGAACACTCGGACAAACACGGAAGGTGACTATGTAGTTGTCATTCAAGTACTGTGCTTAGTGAAAGTCAAAAGTAGTTTTCGTTATTTAATTAAATAATTTTCCAAGTCTAAAAACTATAATCGACGTTTATAGATTACAATTTAAACTTAAAGTTTATCGTCAATCACATACCGCGTTTCATGAAAGCCAGTATATAGTAGTTTTCGTTATTTAATTAAATGTTCGTCCAAATCTAAAATCGACGCTTTTGAATTACAATTTAAGCTCGATATTCAATGAAAAACTATTTTATTTAGACAATGGCGGTAAGGCGAGTTCGTCGACATAGTAATCAATAATCAAAAAACCATAATACATCCGTTTTTCTTACAGTCTATGCTAATATGAATATATGATAAGCAGTGCATATAAAGTCACGTGACAGACAAGCATTAATAATATTATCTATAAATTAATATGTGAATCGAGACTACCGTGATATGAAAAGGCGGTAAATAAAAAGTCTATTAATGGCGATTCGTTATGTTCACTGAGAAAGTGACATAAGCGCCAAACTATTATCTTTAATGTATTTTGCGAACGGTTTATTGTTGTAGAGAAATATGAGACCTATAATTTTCAAATAAAACAAAAAGCCTAAATTATAAAAGAATCCTTTTAAAATTGACAAACTAAAAACCAACATAACAATATGGACAAATTATCAAGTTTTAAGCACATGTTAGCTAAAATTATAAAAATAATATTATTATCATAATTATTATTATAGGTAGGTAATATAAAAATATAATAATAATAATATTATCATTAAAAAATATATTTAATTATAATATATTATATTTTTTGTAACACGGCGCCTTGTGTATGCAATTTTAATACAATGGAACTGCTAAAGCTAAAATAGATAATTCGTAAAACTATGATAGCTTATTATTAATTATTATCGTCTTGTAATTAATAAAATATTACAACTATGATATACTTTCAATATTATGTTAATAAATAATTATAGCAAGGGTAAATATTGTAATGAAAATTTTAAACAAGAGGCGTTTATTTCTGAACAAACACCGGTAAATTATCGCATTCGAAGGATAATTTTTTTGTTCACATTCCGTATAATTTTGGTTATTGCTATTTTCCAAAAGCCGATCATTTACCATATTCTATTATATGCCTGTTAAATATATAAATAGGCCTACGATAAAAAAAATACGTGTTCAAATTACACTTCTGAATAATATTATGTTTAATAAAAAAATAACTTTTTAAAAACTTCGCATTTTTATTTTACGAACTTTTTAACAGCCACGGGGTTGTGTTATATCGAAACATCGTGGGATTTTTTTTAATACAATTATACAATACTTAAATATTTTTAAATTACCAAGCAATTTTTAAATGGTTTTTATTAAAGTGAATACATTTACATTGAAACGTTCCTGATTGCAATATTATTTAAAACGTAATATAATATTTTAACTTTATTTTAATGAATGCCGCGTATTATAATATAAATTTAATTATTACGTATTCCGTATATTATAATAATATCAACTCCCGAGTTACGTCAACTAAAAATTTCATTAGTCTCTTTTTAAACGCGTCTTGTTGGCTGTTTATTGCACAAGTATTTCTTATAAAATATGTATTCGCTTCAAAATCACCCAGCAGTAAATCTTAATAATATGTAGAAAAATATGAACTCCATGGGCATGTCATAACACAGAACAAAATAATATCGCTATGTTAAATGAGTACGAACAATATAAGTCGATCCGTAACACAGCATTTATTTATTAAGTACCTAATTGAATACTGCGATCAAAGGGCTTAAATAAATTCATAATAACATGCACATGTTAAACATATTTGATACCATTCAATTCGATAATATAAAATTAAATATCGACTTTGTAATGGGGATTTAAAATGAAACTATATTTTAAAAGTAGTTTACAAGGTTTTCAAATAGGAATCGTGATACAAAACTTACATTTAAGTTTAACTAAATACAAACATCAAACTAATAAATATAATAAAAGAGAATATAATGATAAAAAAAATAACAATAATGTTTTTATAAATACAGTTCACGGAAGAGTTTTCTCTAAATAGTAGCTTTTTTATTTTGGATGAAAGTTTAGTAGGTACTGAAGTCGAGTAATTTATTTTCGTTGAAGTATAAAAAAAACTTTTTAAATTATTTGCCTGCAGCTGAACAAATATATTATTATGATGACCTTTATATTTTTCATTCCCTTCATTCGAATCGATCATACTATGTGTACATATCAAGTGACTATACAATTCCACTTTTTTCAATAACTCTATAAAAAGTTTTAACGCATATATTGATATAATATTTTAAAATGAATATGTTTTAGTAACTAAATATAAATGAAAAAAGGTACATTTCGTATTGAAAATGTTTAATATCATACTAGACGTAAGATCTGCTTTATTGTAAGTACACAATTTCACTGTACAGTTAATAATAATTATAACGAATTTGTCTTTTTCCAACTTCATGTGTAGGATGAACTATTATACGTATGTACCGTTGTATTATTCAAAGATTTAATAAGTTTCTCTTTCAAAATACTTATATTTAAAAATTGTCTATATTCATATTACACTAGCTGTCCTGACTGACGTTAACAGTGATTTTTTAAAACAATTAATATTTGTAAAAAAATGTGTATGCCGTATTTCTAAAAATAATAATAGTACCTAAGTAATATTTTGATAATATGTAACCAATGGCAATAATTTAATTTAGCAAAAATAATTACTAAATTGGTTTTTAGTGAGTTGAAAAAGAATGGATGTGTGATTTGCCCTTTAGCTTTCAACCATTAGAGATTGAAAAAATTTCGAAACCTTCTCCGTGATATACTCTTTCATTAAAAAAAAAAAAAGCAACACGACTATCGGATGAGTGATTGCGATTGGCACCAAAGATTTAAATATATATATATATTTCCATTTTCTGTATCTTTTTCTGCTATAAGAAAAGTTCTCCTAGAGAACTAACTACCGTTTGCAATTGTTTGCCAATCTAGTCAATTAATATATGATTTTGCAGGTCACGTTACTATTTTTTTTTTAAGCTTGAGGAATAACAACTCATCAAAGAACTATTGAAACATTTTAAAGAGATTTAATTTACCGAGGTTTTAACTTAACTACTTTCAGAATTGATTTTCCAATACGATAATTCATAACATCCCTCACCATTCACAGTTTCTTCGAAAAACATTATCATAATCATTCACTACTACCTATATGATGCTGCGTGCGGAGAATTGAGAGTGGACTAAGATCTGTCCACTTATTATATGTTCTGTTACTAAAACAAATAGATTACCAGGTTATCCCGCGGTTCGTGGTAGGTACAACGGGGTTGTTAATTATTAATAAAGTGCATCGATACTCCTAACGCTGATATATTGACCACAGTTACAACCTTCAAATCACACTAAAACGATATTTTACAGATCTTATTATTTTATTTTATATTTGTTTTATTTTCTCTAACATGACAAAAATATACTGTGATACTTTAGAGTCTCAAAATGCAAAAAAATATAACAACGGTACATTATGGAAATAATATGTGCTTAAATTTTTTAATTGACTAGTAAATATGAAAAGAATAAAACAAATTACACTTTATTTATTTAATAAATATATTTTAAACATCAGTCGATAATATTGTATACAATTTATTGTTGATTCGTTTTTGTTGATATTATATACAATTTATTCAAGATAGTTTTTATTATGGTCGTAAATTTGTTTTAAAAAAGGCATATTATATTATCACGATGTAAACGGTTTCTCGTGAACACATCATTGGCTCAGCGAGTGGTCTAATAGAGTTTACGATAAACATAATATTTTATGTATAATGTGCTTTATCGAGATTACAATATTAGCGTACATGACCTTTTAATGTAGTATATTGTTTGTCCTTACGTTCTACTAACAATTTTCTGAAATGCTTAATTTGACGTTTTTACTACAGCTGTAGGTTAGTGATGCAATTTATCTAGTCGTTTTTTTATTTGAATAAAAATTATTATTCAATATCAGTTGGATTCAATCCAATAATATTACTAATTAATAATTATCATTGAAACCGAACGACACACGTAATTCACGCCTATATAAGGCCATTTTGTTTGTTCCGTCGTCGTCATATTTTTAACAGACAAGATAAATAGGTATTTGATTATTGATAGCGTTTTTGATATTATATTCGAAAATTCACTAGCAGTTCGATTAATTAGTAATATTAATAATTCTGGAAAATTCTAAAGTGTATACGTAAGATACGTAAGCGGTTCTATAATATGAAATTGATCACAAATGATACACTAAAGTATATTAAACTTGGAATAAAATAGTTTGTAATATTCTTAATGAACAACTGAAAACTATAATCAATCAGTAAATTTGAAATGAAATTTTTACGCTAGAGCGACTAAAATACTTTTATAAAGTGGTGATTAAATACTTAAAAATAATTAATTGTAAGATCACTTGTGGTTAGGTTTATAAAATTGAGTTTTTAATTTAATTATTTACTAAACACCATTGTTTTTTTCTTAAAATATATGTTGAGTTTCTTATAAAAAAACCCGAAATAATATAAATGAATATATTTTTGCTGCAAGGTTTATAGGAATATTAAGTTATCATGTGTGAAAGATCAAAAAATCTTGTAAAATAATTTAGTAAAAACGCAATAATATCGCTTGTTGTATTTTAATTAGGATAAGTTATAAGAGCTAACGAACAAACTATTTTCATTTTTTTTTAATTATTCCCATTGTGGAGATACACAATTAAAATCAGAATCACAATTGAACAAAACATGGTTTAACATACTATTGTGTAACAAGTACCCACCTACCTGACATATACGACTATACATCTGTTTATTAAATTCTTATCCTTTATAGGTATAAAGTCTTCAGAGTATAAAAAAAATGCATTTTATAGTAGCAGATCAAATAGTGCTGAAGTAGTACATATAACATCAAAATTCAATTATTTTTTCGTATATAGGTATAGAATATAGATACAACTTGAAAAGGAGAGAAAAAAATTATAGTTCTGTATGTGAGTTCAGATTTATAAACGTAATACAGAAAATATCTAGGTTATATTGGCATACCTTTTTTTTATTCTAGTTTTACATTTTTAAAATAAAAAAACAAATTTTTCGATATTTTTATATCAATATTTACTTTATACCTTCGTGTTGTATGAATGTTTCTATAATACAAAATACATTATTCCTTCTACCCCGTATCGCATCATAATTTCATCCTTTAACATACTTGCAGTTACGAATTTATGTATATGAACTAGCAACATATTTATATTATTTATGCGCTTGTAAGAAATTCTATGGTTTGATGTATTTTTTTATTAGATTTGGGTACCCACAACAAATACTTACTTGAAAATTATTCTCATTGATAAATTATCTGAAATTTATATGCCTTGCATAAACCATTATACGCTTCATATTATACATTATTGTATAATGTGTATATCTATATATTCAATATGTGTATAAAAATATCAAAATATAAAGAGTATTGTTGGATGAGATTAATTATATTCAGTAAACTAAAACTGCAATCCATGCATTTATTTCAAATTGCCGTTTTATTTGTGTAGATATTTGATGATATCATTAGTGTCGTGTGTGCAACAATTCAATCACTTCGGGTTCTTACAGCAGTTGGTCTTTACATTGTCTCTAACTACATTTTATAAAATTTGCATTCAGTTCCTCGTTAGTCATCTTATAACAATTTTAACGACTATAATAAATATTACATTGTTACAATATAAAAAATGTGTTATCATTAATTATTTACGTTTGGCAACTCAGTGCGGTTAATATTTTTTTTATTGGTTTTTATGTCTGTCAGTGGTCTTAGGAACAACAATGTATTATTTATTACTACTGAAACATGCTATATTATATTATAGACCCACTTCGTTTTATATAATGTGTACGATACATGCGATATTATAGTATACTACCAACGACGACGACGACGACGACGACGATGGCGATTATAATAATATTAACAGTATAATAATAGCGAACAAATCATAATATACCTGGGTTGTAAAAGAGGTCAGTGATCTTTTCGTGTCTGGCCGACTGGGGATAGTGTTCAAGGGCGTTGTTCACCTCGGGCACCGGTTCCGGGTCGTGGTGATCATCAGGTGCCTCTGAAAAACGGAAACAACAACAACAATAAAAAATATGTATACGTAAACACGCACGTACACATTATGTTATAATATATGTATGTATAGTTGCGTCGACAATCGATACTTCCGGCACGACCACGATTGTTGGGGTAGGTGTATAATATGCGTAGGCATATCATTATAATATTGGGTTACTCACGTCTCTTTTCGGCTCTGGCGTAGTTTCTGGTGTCCGCCTGTCTGTTCTGCTGGTTTCCGAACTGGAGTACTTCCTGCGTCTTCTTGGCTATAATATCATACAAGACGAATTAAAAACGAATACGTGCACATTATTATAAAATAGGTTGTAGAGACAAATCGTGCGGTGGAAGAATTATCAAAAATTTGGGGTTAGATGCACGGCATGGCATTTGTTGTTGTTGTTTTGAAACGATACAATACAACGATAACAATACTGTAATTGCGCAGTTGTGATAATGATATTATTGTAAAACGGAAATTCAACAAGCCGCAATATTTTAATAATAATATTAGTATCAAAGGTACACGCGATACGAATCGCAAAGTCAGTCGCGAGGGCCCCGGGATAGAGTGGGTGGGACGAGAGTGTGAGCCAGCGGCGATGATCGTCGGGAACTCACCTTTATTCTTGGCCATGTTCTTTTGGATCTTGGCAGCGTCAGCCTTACCGGGGGCGGGCAGCCCGTGCGCCATATGCGTGACGGCCACCGCCACCGCGACCGACAAGACCAACGACGAAGTGAACCACTTCATGATGACTTGACGTGAGTTCGACCGTACTTAATTTTGCCGTGGCAGAGTGCTTTCTCCTCGGTGTGCAGTCGGTTGCGTTCTGTCGGTGGTGGTTTCGGCGGCGCGATGACGACACAGTGCTGGCGGCGGCGGCGTCGGTGGCGGCGGCCACGGCGACGGTTGTCCGCACCCACCGGCACAGCGGGTGACGAAGAGGAGCAGCTTTTTTTTTGTCGGTCGTCGAGGATACGGGGAGTAGGTGTTTTCCGCCCGATCGATATTCCCGAGTGTGCGTCCCTGCGAAACCTCACGCTCATCCACCCACGAGAAAACGCCCGGGCCGCCACCTGTCGCGCGCGCGTGGGACACTGCGATTTCATGCCACCACCGACTTCTCCTCCACCGATTCGGGCAGGCCATCGTCGCAACTCCCTCTTCTCCGCCACGACCGCCATCAGATCCTCGACCATTACCACCCCATCGCGAAATACAGTCTCCCGTAGCCGAACGGAACAACACAATAATTTATTTCGGTCCACAGTCTGCAGAGTATGTATATAGGGTCTCTCGAACAATACGACAATAAGTACCCACCGCTAATGTAACTCGGGCTTGAGTACCTTTCAAACGAACTGTATATATATAATATTCTTATTGAAAGTTGCAAATGTCAACAATGTGGGTAGTCATTTTGAAATCGACAGTCGTCCTGATTATTATTTTAATATTAAAAAAAAAATAGAGAGAGAATGAGAGATGAACAATATTGCATCATGAACTCATCGAAAGCTTACAAAAATAATTAAAAACGCAACTATAGGTACCTTCGCATATCGATTCAATGTTAGAACAAAGCCACCGTGTACATCCAATTATTATTGCGTTGTATGTGCTATAAATATAATATAAAGTTATAATACTTACATTGATATAAAGCCATAATTCGTTGTAACCCAACAATGTGTGCACTACGTACATTATTATTATTACTACCACAATGTATTTTACGACAGCGGCACGTTCATAATAGTTTTATAAGATTATTTGTATAAATAATAATTGCCGATAAACGATATCACAGTATCACACAAAGTCACGATAGAGTGATTTTTGTTTGTCAGACTAAGTTTTGTTTTTTGAATTTTATCAACTAGCGTTCTAATATAATATAATATATTATAAAGTTACGTGAGATTCAAAAGTGTGTAATCGTTAAAAATATATTGTAGGTAGATACTGTGCCATTATTATTATTTCCGACGAAGGATACAATATATGCATTTAAAAAAAAAAATATGAAATACTGTATTATATTTATTTGACGTCTTTATAGATATTAGGTATAATATATCTTTTCTTTTTGATATTTATAAATTTTAAAGTAATTTAATATTAAATATTTTATACTATAAAAGTATATAAATATTACAAAAGTTAATGTGACCCACCAAAAATATAATCGTGATCCACATCGGCCATAATTGGAAACCTTTGATCTTCTACATTCTATATAACTAGATAGGTATAATAAATTTCCAATTTCAGACAAATCTTTGTGTCTGAAGTCACGTACTCTAAATATTATATATTATTATATTTTTTGAAACCATAATTAAGCACTCAATATTGCGCTCACTCTTTATTTTCATTATTTATTCTTCTATGTAACCACTTTTTCCAGATGATAATTTAATATTTGAATACCCTTAAGTGTTTCAATGGACTTGGACGTGTTCCTGATAAGTGCTTTAGGCAAAAATGATACCTTATCAAAATACTCTTTGGGGTTAGTTGAGCAACCCTTTGTAATATAAATATATACTATAATTTCTATTAAGTATGGCTATATATACCAACAACGCTGTTAAGTTTTTAGTTCCAGTAAGCAGCTTTTTTTATTCTAACTTGTTATATTTTTTTGAATTGAAAGACGTTAATTTCAATTTTAAATTGTACTAAAATTTTAATTTCTAGGAATTTTTATTAGTTAAAATATATAGAAAATCAATATATTTGAATGGAAAAGTAAATCTTATGATTATTACTATTTAAAATATATTTTATAACAGTCAAATTTCTATTTCAGTAATCTTTTAGGATATTTAAATTTAAAACAAACTATATTAAGTACCTATACCGCATATATAAATATATAATATAATATATTATTTAAATATTTAAATAAAATAATTGTTATATAAATCATATAAATTCTAGATAGTCCACACACTAGTATAACAACCCATTTCAAAATAAGAACTTAAGTTAAAAAATAAATTCTTAAAATATTTTTATAAGTAATTGCGCCAAACCAAACAAATAATAATATAAGAAATACAAGCTGGCTTTTCAGTCGGTATAATTATACATTAAATCACTTCTGCTCCTTGGATTGTCTAACTATACTCCCTGTAAGGACCTAAATATTCAGGTTGTCGACTATTCAACAAGAACCCACTACAAAAATTCTATTCAAGAATCATCCCACCACTCAGATCCAGTAATGTGAAATCCATTATGTGATATTACAATTTCTGACCCCTCCCCCTCCCACGCATCAAAACATGTTGAAACTAAATAATCATAATATTAGCATCATTAATTGTCTTTAATTCATAACAATGTATGTCAGCCGATTCGCTTATTGTATTACTATATAAACAGATTGTGATTTTAATTTTATTTTTAATAGGTTACTATTACTCATAACTTTTTATTAAATTTGTTGGAGGCTGGCATAATATGCAGATTGAATTTTTGTCGTACTATTTTATGAAACGAATGACATTAATTTCCGCTAAAAACGCAAGTAAATTTAATGAAATTCTAGAAGATAATTAATAAATAAATAATTTTATAATTAAAAAATAAATTTGAAAATATTGTGCAAAAAATGGATAGAAAAACCTCATGCATTATTAAATTACAAATTTAGTATTATTTTTTTGTTTTGTATTAGTGAACAATCACAAAATACCTTTATAATACTTTCGTATTATTGAGGAGGTATAATTATACCTTTTTTAACATAATTTTTTTTTTTTGTAATCAGCCCAATTTACAAAACTACCCGTTCTTCACTCTTTGGGCTAAGTTATATTATGTTGTTACACATAATATTATGTGCATATAAATTATAAACGATCGAATAAAGTTTTATAGGTGCAGGTGAAGACAATCACTCAGAAGTGTACAATGTAAGACGGCTTTCAACTTTCAAGGTTATATTTGACGCAGGTTATTATTATTGATTTTTCCCCTATTGTAATATATTCTTCGAGTGTAATATTATGTTGTATGAAGACAATATTTCACATGTCCGTGGAGCTTAAATTGTAATTTAAAGTTATATTGTATGTATTTTTAATTTTCATAGCATACAGAACAAATTATTGTTTTTGAAGAAAGAATTTTTTTTACAAACATTGTGTAATTAATTTTACAAAGGATGGCATTTTTTTAATTTTTCGATATAGCTCCCAAGATTTTTGTAAAATTAAAATGACAATAGTTTATGACCTCTATGACTGATAACCAATAGCTATACTTAGCTAATACCTTTAGGTCCATAAATATTGTACAACCCGTGTTCTAAGTACTTCTAACTGCTCAATAATCATCATGACAGTGAGTCTATGATATATTATACAACTTAATAGTTCAATACTAGATAAGAATTCATATCTACGTTTTATGATAAATATTATATCGATTTTAATAATATATTTAAAATTATATCTATTTTATATTTGTATAAAGTAATTTTAAATGTAGCACAGAACAGTTAAAAATGGTGCCAGGCCCCAAGTTCCTCATACCTGATTTATAACAAAACAAACTTGAAATTATTTAGCGAAAATGACATAGTATGTTTAAATTGTTTCTTGTTTAGGTAGGTATCTAGAGGCTAGTATAAGTTTAGTGAAAAATAAACAACAACATTTTATACATTTTAAAATAAAAATATACAATATGTATAGTATATATAATATTATCTATAGATTGATTTATTTTTTAATAAATATAATATAAAGAAATTGCCTCCTTTATAAATTTTCCATCGAGGGCAATTGACCCCCCTCATAAATGCACCCCTGAGGCTGACACACCGTCTTCGCTCAGAATCGTTTTTCGTATACAAAGTTTTTATATCATTCAATTCAAATTTAACACCATCCAATGCAGTTAATTTTTTTTTTTTTTTGAACAATGTTAACCAACCATACATTATTTATCAATCTATTTTTCACATTTATACACAGAATATAAGTTAGCAGACAAAGTCTCTAAAAGGTCACTGTACCCGGATCACGGAGGATTATGATTTATGACGTAATTTTATGAATTCTATCGATATTAGAGAGTTTTGTTGGTTTTAGAGTTTGGTAAAATGGTAAACAGCTATCATTACATCATTTTATGATTTTGATTAACTGACGTCCTAATCTGACACCGTTTTAATGAGATTGAATACGTCCATTATACCTACCCAGAACAGACGTGATAAATTGTTTATATCAGTTGTATATGTATATATTATATATTTATATATTCATATTATTATAATTATTTATTGATTCTTGACTGAATAATAATAAAAACCATGTTATAATATTTGTCTTGGATTTTTCGTCATACGTAGTCCGACATATATTTACCTAATAATATAATAATGTTTACAATTTACTATTATAAAAAAGTGCTATTAATAATAGGTATTTATAATAAACGAAAATAGACTTTAAATTATAATGTCTAATAATTACAACTCATAACAGTATAGGTACCTAATTATTCAAGTCCAAGTAATAGTTTATTTCAATACATATTATAATATTATGTATGTTCTCATATCAAATGATTGCTCTGTTGAACATTTTAAATAAACATCCTTTTAAATGTATCATTAAATAATATTAAACGATGAATTCATTGAATATTTGCACCACGTTGTAATTGACATAATATTATTAAATTACGTACACGCAGTCAAACTTATACAATGTAATTACAGTTAGGTT